TTGAATTTGCTTGTCAGTAGAGTCCCTTTTTATATTTTTTTCTGAATATACTTGCCCGTAGAGTCTTTTATTACTTTTATGAATATGCTTGTCAGTAAGTTGCATTTATATTTTTTTTCTAAATTTGGTCTTTCAGTAAAGACAAGTAAATTAAAAAAATATAAAAAGGACTCTACTAACGAGTAATTAAAAATAAATAAAAAGAGGTTTACGTACTAAAAAATTAAAAAAAATGAAAAGGGACTCTACTGTCGGTCAAATGTAAAAAGGACTTTACTGATAACCAAATTTAGAAAAAAATGTGAACAGAATTTTACTGACGAACAAATTAAAAAGATGTAAAAGGACTCTACTGACGAGCAAATGTCAAAAAGGACTCCACTGACGAACAAATTAAGAAAAAATGAAAAGGAGACTTACTGACGAGCAAAAAAAAAAAAATGACAAAAAGACTACTGACGAGCAAATTTAGAAAATTGTGTAAAGGCACTCTACTCTACAAACAATTTAGAAGAAAGAGAGAAAAAAACTATCAAACAAAATGAAAAATGACTACTGATGATCAAATGAAAAACATGTAAAAAGGGACTCTACTGACGAGCAATGAAAAAAAATGAAAAAGAACTCTACTGTCGGTCAAATGTAAGAAGGGACTCTACTGACAAACAATTTCACGAACAAAATCAGAACAAAATGCAAAAAATACTCTACTGACGAGCAAATTAAAAAAAATGTAAAGAGCCTTACTATTGTATAATAAATTTAAATGAAACAGCGATGTTATCTTAACCATATATTATTTACAACTATATTTCATATAATAATAAGAATAAAATTAAAAGCTCAAAATGGCGGGTCAAACAGTGCTCCTACCAGATTTTGGTTATTTGTAAATGCACACCGTTAGATGGCGACTTTATTAATTATAATTTATTCAACTAGCAAGAAATTTTAGAAAAAAAAGTGAGAAAGAGGGACTCTACTGACGAGGCAAATTTTAAAAAAAAAAGATAAAAATCTTTACTGACAAAACAATGATAGTATGTAATGAGTTATTAGTCACTATAGACAATAGATTAAAGACAAAAGTGTATTAGAGGCGACTGGAGTTAATATAATTTTTGTATCAATTTATTAATTCTCGTCAATGAGACAAGAATCTATTCTATCTATTCTATCTATTTTATTTTTCAGGATGTAGTTGAAGAGTTGAAGGGCAGCGAATTAAAAAAAGAGAAAAAAAGGACTTTACTGACGAGCAAATTCATAAAAATGTAAAATAAGGGACTCTATTGACGAGCAATGTTTTTAAAAATGATAAAAAACTTGGTTGACCCAACAATTAAGACCAAAATGATTAAAAGGACTCTATTGACGAGCAAATTTAGAAAAATTTAAGAAAGTTGACTCTACTGACGAACAAATTAAAAAAATATATATAAAAAGGACTCTAGCCCTTTCTTTTATCTTTTAGAACAAAATTAAAGTTTGCTCGTCAGTAAAGTCCTTTTCTTACTTTTCTGTTACTAATAAATTTGCTCGTTAGTAGAGTCCATTTAATATTTTTTCAAATTTGCTCGACGTTAGAAGATTAAAAGAGGACTCTACTGACGATCAGACTTAATTTGTTAGATGTAAAGAGAAAAAAGGATTCTACAAACTTTATAAACTTGAAGACAAAAAGGGACTCTATTGACGAGCAAACAAAATATTGAGATAAAAGAATAAAAAGGGACTCTACTGACGAGCAAATTTGATTTAGATTGTTAAAAAAGGACTCTATTGATAAGCAAATAAAAATATAAAAATAACTACAGCGAAAGGGAATTCTACTTACGAGCAAACCTAATTTGTTTTGAAAGGGACTCTACTGACAAGCAAACTTTAATTTTGTTCTAAAAGAAAGGACATTTGATTTGCTCGGATATAACAAGGTAGTAAAAATAATGAAACAATTACAGTATTTGTAATAATATATTTGAAAACGTTTAAAATTCCTCGGGAATATTTCATTACGGTACGGGAAGTTCCAGCAATTTGCCCGAAGGCACGATGCCATACACCACACTAGTTTTATGTTTGCATCATTCAAACATCAAAATAATATATAAAGGACTCTACTAACGAGCAAATGAAAAAAATATAAAAAAAGTTTTACTGACAAGGAAATTAAAAAATAGAAAAAGGACTCTACTGTCGGTCAAATGTATAAAAGGGACTCTAACTAACGAGAAAATTCAGAAAACACTTGTAAAAAAGGACTTTACTGACGATAAATTAAAAATAAATAAAATGATGAGTAAATTAAGAAACTAATATCTAAACTCTACTGACGATCAAATTAGAAAAAAAATGTAAAATGGGACTCTATTGACGAGCAAATAAAAAATTATATAAAAAGAATTCTACTGACAAGCAAATTAAAAAGAGAAAAAGGACTCTACTGACGAGCAAATTAAAAAAAGTAGAAAAGGGACACTACTAACGAACGAATAAGAAAAAAATGTAAAATGGACTCGACTGACGATCAAATTAAGGAAAAAGGACTCTACTACGACGGACAATTTAAAAAAATGACAAAAAAGACTACTGGCGAACAAACAAGGAATAATGTAAAAAGGGACTTTCTGACGAGCAAATTAAAAAAATATAAAACTATAAAATGTTTTGTTTGCTTGTCAGTAGAGTTTCCTTTTCTAGTTTATCACTTCGCGCACAACATCTTCTTCCAATGTTATTCTATTTATTCTATTTTTTTCAGGATGTCGTCGTCGTGGAAGAGTTGGAGGGCAGCGAACTGGGTACGCTTCAGTATTGGGACGACGCATACGCGAGAGAAATCGAGAATTACAAGAGTCACGGCGACGTCGGGGAGATTTGGTTCGGCGAAGACGCCGAAATCAGAATAGTCAACTGGATGGTGGACAGCGAATTGGTGTCGTTCGAGGATAATATCATAGATATAGGTGGGTAGTGGGATTAATTGAGAGAAGGAACTCTACTGACGAGCATACTTTAATTTTGATCTAGAAAATTAAAAAGGGACTCTACTGACGAACAAACCAAATTATAAACCTCAAGATAAAAAAGGACTCTACTGACAAGAAAACTAAATTTTGGAAAAAATAAAAGAGACTCTACTGACGAACAAAAAAAATAACAAAAAGGAACTCTATGACGAGCAAAATTTTATTTTGATGCAAAAGATTAACTAGTGGGGTGGGTGGCATCGTGCCTTAAGGCAAATTGCTGGAACTTCCCGTACCGTAACGAAACGTTCGAGAAATACTGAATGTTTTCAAATAGATTATTATAAATATTGTAACATTGTCTAATATTTATAAATATTATATAAACTGAATTGCAGAGTTGAAATTATTTGTTTCACAAAAAACTAAAAAAAAAAAAAAAATTGGAACAAAAATTTTTTTTTCCAAAATCAATTATTTTGTTAAGACAAGCAGAAGGTTTTTGAATCATTCAAATCGGACGCTTAGTTCTCTCAAAAACTGCCATTTTTTACATATTTAGCTCCGTATCTTCGAAATGGCTGGGCCTGCCTTTGCCAAAAACTATAACACTTCTCCCAATCATTACTAATTGAATGTTTTTTAGATCATTCAAATCGGATACTCCGTTCTCTCAAAAACTCGATTTCTATTTTCCGCACTCTTTGCTCCGTATCTCCGAAACGGCTGGACCTGTCTTTGCCAAAAACTAATCAGCTCTTCTCCTTATTAATAGGAATCGAATGTTTTTTAAACCGTTCAAATCGGTTGATCCGTACGCCCGAAAACGTGGACGAAAATTTGTATCCATACATACATACACACACACACACACACACACACACACACACATCCATTTTTTCTGAGGTATGCCAAAACGTTCAGAAACCTTCAAAACGTCGAGAAATGTAAAAATTTTCAATTCCGATTTTCGGCCCATTACAATAACTTACCCTACGGGAAGTTAATAAAGAAGAAGTTTCTACTGACGAGCAAATTATATAGGAAACCGAAATATTAAAAAGGGACTCTACTGGCCAATAAACTGAAGAATAAATACAGGCTCCATTGACTAGCAAACTTTCTATGATAAAAAATGGACTCCTAGTGACTAGCAAACTTGATCTTGATCTTGTAGATAAAAAAAGGACTTAACTGTCGAGCAAACTCAATTTTAATACTAAAAGACAAAAAAGAGACTCTACTGACGAGAAAACTTATTTACAAACTAAAAGATGATAAAAAGGAACTTTACTGACTAGCAAACTTTCTTAGAGATAAGAAAGGAATTCTACTGACGAGAAAATTAAATAAAAAATTGAACGATACAAAACGGACTCTACTGATGAGCAAAATGAATTCGCAAACTGAAGGATAAAGAGAGACTCTAATGACTAGCAAACTTAAAGATAAAAAAGTGACTCTTCTGACGAACAAACTTTAATTTTGATCTAGAATGTTAAAAAATGAACTCTACCGACGAGCAAGTTTTGAAAAAAAGTAAAAGGGACTCTACTGACGAGCAAACTTATAATGAATTTAAACTGATGCGCAAAATCAGAAAAAGGGATAAAATGTAAAAAAACACTGCAAATGAACAAAATTCGTCATTATTAGTCCAATCTCATTTTAGACAAATTGAACTGATGAGTAAGATCAAAGAAAAAAATTCTACTGACAAACAAATTAAAAAAGAAACTCTACTTTGGAAAGTTTTTCTTTTAATCTCCTGAAATCTAGATAGATATTTGATTTCCTCGTTAGTAGAGTCCTTTTCATTTTCTAAATCGCTTGAGAAAAAAGATTTCGAAATTTTGTGTTTGCTTCTTAGTAGAGTCTCATTTTTAATTCTCTAAATAAAAATTAAAGTTTGTTCGTCAGTAGAGTCCTTTTTATCATTTTTTTTGTTTGTTTGTCAGTAGAGTTCCTTTTTTATACTCTAGATCAAAATTGAAAATTTTTTATCTTCTGTATTAAAATATTTATTTGGCTCTTCAGTAGAGTCCTTTTTCAAGCTTCTAAACCAAAATTTCAGTTCATCAGTTCATTCCAGTTTGCTTGTCAGTAGAGTCCTTTTTATTTAAATTAGATCAAAATTAAAGTATGCTCGTCAGTAGAGTCTCTTTTTAAATCATCTAGGTTAAATTTTAGGTTTGCTCGTCAGTAGAGTTCCTTCTTTTATATTCAAAATTAAAGTTTGTTGGTCAGTACAGTTTTTATTTAATTTTCTACACAAAAATTAAAGTTTGCTCGTCAGTGGAGTCCCTTATTATATTTTCTTGGTCAAATTTTGGGTTTGCTTGTCAGTAGAGTCTCTTTTTTAACATTCTAGATATAAATTAAAGTTTATTCGTCAGTAGAGTTCCTTTATTAATTTTATTTACCAAAATTAAAGTTTGCTCGTCAGTAGAGTTCTTTTTCATCACTTTTCGGTTAATTTTGCTTATCAATATAATTTTTTGTTGTCCAAATTTATTACTCAATCGTTTCGGGAATTTGTTCATCAGTAGAGTTTTTTATCACTTTTTTAAATTTATTGTTAGTAGAAAGAAAATTATTAGTTGGAGAGAAAACAAGCAAGATCGAAAGGAACTCTACTGACAAACACATTTAGTTTAATAAAGAAGATAAGAAAAGGGATTGTACAGACGCGCCAATATTAATTTTGTTCTAAAATAAAAAATATAAAAAAGAGGCTCTACTGACGAGCAAATTATCGAATAATGTAAACAATAAATAAAAGGGGCTATACTGATAAGCAAATTTAATTTGGATTTAGAAGATTTAAAATGGGACTCTACTGACGAGAAATTTTTTAAATAATCTAGCAAATAAAATAGAACTCTACTGACAAGCAAATTATATATTGATCTAAGTTATTCAAAAATGACTCTACTAACGAGCAAACTTTATTTCAAACTTGAAAATTCAAAATGAAAGTTAGGTTATTAGTAGAGTCTCTTTCTTAACTTTGACCTCTAATTTTTTTTTGCTGCTCAGTAGAATTATTTTTCTTAAATGACATTTTTCTAATAATGACCGATTTTGCTTGTCAGTAGAGTCCCAGTTTTAATATTCTAGATCAAATTTCAATAGAGTCCTTTTTCGGTTTAAATTTAATTTGCTCGTAAGTAGAGTTTTTTTTATATCTACTAGGTTTGATTTTACATATAAAGAAGGGTTTATTAATTTAAAATAGAATTTATTTGGAAAACTGAAAGACGAAGAAGGGACTCTACCGAGGAGCAACTTAAATTGCAAACAAAAAAGATAAAAAAGGACTTTACTGACGAGCAAATTTGAATTACGATCTAGAGGATTAAAAAAGGAACTCTACTAACGAACAAAAATTGGATTTAGAAAAAGAACTCGACTAGCAAATTAAGTTTGTGAAAAACGTCAAAGAAAAATGTTAAAAAAAATTGCTAAGACAAAAAGGGACTCTACTGACGAGCAAACTTTAATTTCGATCTAGAAAATTATTAAAGGGACTCTACTGACGAGCAAACTTTAATTTTGATTTGGAAAAATAAAACAGGCATTTGAATTTAAAATTTTGTATTAAATTTGCTCGTCAGTAGGGTCTCTTTTTTAAATATTCTAGATCAAAATTAAAGTTTGCTCGTCAGTAGAGTCCCTTTATTAATTTTTTAGATCAAAATTTAAGTATGCTCGTCAGTAGAGTCCATTTTCCATAAATAATTTCTAAAAATAAGAAGTTTATTTTAAGTGCAGGCAAAAAAATTCGAAAAATCCATATCAAGGACCACCCTAATAATATTTATATTCTATATCTATCTCCTTTTCCTCCAGGTTGCGGCAACGGCATGATACTAATAGAATTAGCCCGCGAAGGTTTAAATATATTGGAGTGGTCCTTGATATGGACATTTTCGAATCCTTGCTCCCAAGGGCTCAAACGCTTCCAAATTGATAAAAGAAAATTCTCTCAAAGTTTCAAGTCTAAATATTAACATTTAGATAGTCCGCACGTCAATTAAAAGTTCCGTACATTCATTATTAACATGGCGGACTATCTAAATGTTAATATTAAGGGCTGAAACTTTCAGGGAATATTCTTATATTAATTTTGTAGGGTTTGAGCCCTTGGGAGCAAGGATTCGAACACATCCATATTAAGGACCACCCTAATAATATTTATATTTTATATCTATCTCCTTTCTCCCAGGTTGCGGCAACGGCATGACGCTCATAGAATTGGCCCGAGAAGGGTTCACAAACCTGACAGGCGTCGACTACAGCCAGGCAGCCGTCGAACTCGCAAAGGCGATCGCAGAAAAACAAGAACTCAACATCGATTATCACAAATTCGACATCCTGTCCGAGGAAAACATCTCGAACCTGGGCCCTTTCAAAATCATCCACGACAAGGGAACCTACGACGCCATCAGCCTGTGTCCTGACGACACCAGGAGAAAAAGGTTGAAGTATATCGATAACATATGGCACCTGATGAACCAGGATGGTCTGTTGGTTTTAACCAGTTGCAATTGGACGGAACAGGAGTTGGTTAGGAGTTTCGGTGACAGGTTTGAGTTAATACAGGTTATACCTACGCCCAGGTTTACTTTTGGGGGTAAGAGTGGGAGTTTGATCACTTCGGTTGTTTTTAAAAAAAGGGAAATGAAAATTGTATAGTGTGAGGGGCGCTTTAGGGTAAGGCTGGTTTCACACTGGGGGTTTTGTATGTGGTGAGTGAGATTGGTTTTGTGTGAAGCCGGTTAAGTGTGTGGAGGGCTTTAGCGTTTAAAGCTGTCTTCACACTTGAGATTTTGAATAAATGTGTAATAAAAGTTGAAATAAAAAGTGAAATTATTATAAGCATGTAGAATTTTTTTTAAATATTAAATTTTTAGGAGTAAGTTTGAGTTATACCATTTTTAGTGGTTAATATTGTATATGATATGAAATGTAAGAGTGTTATTTTTGTAAAAGTTTTTATAAATACAGTTTATGTTTACAATTACACACAGTTTTTTAATAAAGGACTCTACTGACGAGCAAATGAAAGTAAAATGATAAAATATTATTTTAGAAAACAAGACTCTACCGACGAAGTAAACCACAAGACATAAAATAAAATTAGTAAAACAAAAAGTTAGATTTAGAAATTAAAAATGACTCTATTGACGAGCAAATTTAATTTGTAAGTTGAAAAAAGGACTCTACTGACGATCAAACTGAATTAAAAAAAAGAAAAAGAAACTCTACTGGCGAGCAAACTGAATTAAAAAATATAAAAAAAACTATTGACAAGCTAACTGAATTTACAATTAAATCCTGAATTAATTCTACTGACGAGTAAAGTTCAATTTTGAGCTAGAAAATTAATAAAGGGACTCTACTAAAGAGCCAATTCAGACGAGAATGATAAAAAGGACTTTACTGACGAACAAATTTAGGAAAAAACGATAAAAAAGACTATACTGACTAATACAGGCAAACAAATTATAAAAAGAACTATTCTAACAAACAAATTCAGGAAAAACATGATAAAAAGGACTCTACTGACTAACAAATTCAAAAAAAAAGATGGAAAAGGACTCTACCGACGAGCAAATTAAGAAACTTGTTAAAAAGAACTCTACTGATGAACAAACTGAATTAAAAAAGATAACTAGCTGTAAGTGGAATTCTGTCTTAAGGCAATTAGGGCATCGTGCCTTAAGGCAAATTGCTGCAACTTCCCGTAAAAAAATTATTATTTTTTTTTAAAAACGATTAACATTTTGAAAAAAAAAATACTTCGAAAAAATAAGTTTTTGAGAAACTATAAATTTGACAAAAAATTACTTTTTTTTGAAAAAAAAAAATTGAAAAAAAAAATTATTAATTTTTTTTTTAAATCTTTTTTTTTGAAAAAAAATGTTTTCTTTATTTTGACATATTATGTTGGAAGATCTGAACTTTTTTTCAAAGCAATCGTACTGCTTTAAATGCATAGAGACAAAATATAAAGCCCGTAAGCGCCGAGTCGCTGTCTAAAGGGTAAACATTGGTACGGAACCCATAGGAATGTTAACAAAATTTATACTTATTGTTAAAATCTTCATCTGTTAATTTGATGTGCATATGTCTAATGATCATTTTTGACCGCCAAATGGCATTTTTTTTTTTACTTTTTTCGTTATATCTCCGAAACCGCTAAACCTACCCTTATAAAAATTTGATCAAATCTTCATTTTGTCAATACAAGTAAAATGTTTTTTGAATTATTAAAATCGAACGCTCCGTTCTATTAAAAACTGAGGTACCGTTTTTGGCACTTTTTGCCCCATATCTTCGGAACGGCTAGACCTACCTCCGCCAAAAACTAATCAGCACGTATCCTTATCAATACGGATCGAATGTTTTTTAAATTATTTGAATCGCTTCATCCGTGTTCCCGAAATCGTCGACGAAAATTTGTATCCGCACACACACACATACTACGCGCACACACACACACACACACACACACACATACATCAATTTTTTCTAAGGTATGCCAAAATATTCAGAAACCTCTGAAACGTAAAGATATATAAAAATTTTCATTTTCGATTTTTTTGCGATTACTATAACTTGCCCTACGGGAAGTTAAAAAAAACTATTGACAAGCTAACTGAATTTACAATTAAATCCTAAATGGATTCTACTGACGAGCAAAGTTTAATTTTGAGTTAGAATTATAAAGAAGTGACTCTACTGACGAGCAAACTCATTTTTGATTTAGAATATTAAAACCGGAACTTTTCTGACGAGCAAATTGTGAAGACAATTGCAAAATGTTATTTTATAAAAAAAACTTTACTAACGAACTCTACTTTACCAACAAGAAAAATGTTAAATCAAAATTAAAGATCAAATTAAAAAAAAGAAACTCTACTGACAAGCAAAATAAGCAAAAAGTGTTATAATGTAAAGCAGGACAATACTGATGAGCAATAAAACATCCGACAATATTAAGTAAAATATCATTTTTGCAAAAAAAAAACTCTACTGACAAATAAAATAAGAGAGAAAAAAGAACTTTGTAGATAAGCAAAAACAGAAATAAAAGGGTAAAAATTTAGAAAAGAACCCTACTGACGGCACTATTAATAAAATGTCATTATCAAAAAATGGTACTCTACTGAGAAGCAAATTTTATGAGAAATAACTTTGATATTATACTACCGAACAAAAGGACTCTACTGACGTGCAAATGAAATGTAAAAAAACTCTTCTGCCAAATATCAATTTTAGATAAAAGGGACTATACTAACAGCCAAATTTGTAAGGTAAAATGTCACATTAGACAAGAAAAAATAACTGGACTGACGAAAAGAATAAGGTAGAGTGGCAAAACATTTAGACACTACTGACGAACGTGCATTGAAGTCGAACTAGTGCTATATTTTTCATTTTTGCCATTTGGAGGTTAGGTTTCAGCAGTTAAATATGTTTTACATTTAGTTTTGTATTTGAAATTAAAGACCAATATTATTTTTGCAATAGTTTTGATAAATACAATTTATTGATTTTGTGAAAGTGTAACAATAATTGCAACAAGTGTTGCAACATTCGTGCACGACTTATAAGGGCCTTGGTTATGCAACAGTAGTTTTTATCATTCGTATATATATAATAATGGTTTCTATTCCATTAATTTCACTTACAGAATACACGAGGGCATTCCCGTAGCTTAGTGGTTAGAGCCATGGGTTAAACAATTGGATGTTTCAGGTTTGATAGCCGTCTCACACAGCTTGATATAAATATAAGTATCTATAATAGGACTATAGTAACTAACGTCAAAAAAAAAATCGAAAAAAAAATTTTAAAATAATTTTTGACGAGTCAAAATTTTTCCAATCATATAACATGTCTTGATGAGAAGAGTTCTTTTTTTTAAATCTATTTATTTATTAACTTGCCGTAGGGTAGTTATAGTAACAGGACCGAAAATCGAAAATGAAATTTTTTGCATTTCTCGATGTTTTAAAGGTTTCTGAACATTTTTAACGGGGCACACATCAGAAACTAAATGGATGTATGTGTTTAAGTGTGTGTGTGATAGGGAGATGTGCTGATTAGTTTTTGGCAAGGGCAGGTCCAGCAGTTACGGAGATATGGAGCAAAAAGTGCAGAAAATACAAATCGAGTTTTTGAAAGACCTGATCATCCGATTTGTATTATTCAAAAAACATTCAGTTCGTAATGACGGGGAAGAGTGGTTATTAGTTTTTAGCGAAGGTAGGCCCAGCTTACCATTCTATGATATGCTGACAATGAAGCAATTAAAATTGCGGTAATATCAAAGCGGCCGTGATTGTTATCTATTTATATATTTGTTTATCTATGATAAAGATATATATATATATATATATATATATATAATATACAACAGGTGATCCGTTGCGGATTCTGCGAGTGGTGTTAACGATTAGATGCGCACTAGCTTGTGCGCATATTGCATATATACTAGGAGCATTTTCTCTCATGTATATTTTATACATGTACCCTATATAGTATATATAAGGGTTGACCATTTTCTCCGAGATAAAATATGTATACACATGTATATGTATTCTGCAGATACAAAAGGAAGGGCCCAATTCGCAACCCCAAAATAAATCCTAACTTTTTCCGTAGGGTAGTTATAGTAATGGGCCAAAAATCGAAAATTTTGCATTTCTCGACTTTTTGAAGGTTTCTGAACATTTTCAAGGGGCATACCTCAGAAACTAAATGGATGTGTGTGTGTGCAGGGAGCAAGAATCAACCGATTTGAATGGTTCAAAGAGCATGATAGAGAGATGTGATGATTAGTTTTTGGCAAAGACAGGTCCAGCAGTTACGGAGATAAAGAGCAAAGAGTGCAGAAAATAGAAAGCGAGTTTTTTAGAGAACGAAACGGATCATCAACGGATCAACGGATTGGAATGATCTAAAAAACATTCAATTTGTAATGATTGGGAGAAGAGGTGATTAGTTTTTGGCAAAGGCAGGCCCAGCCATTTCGAAGATGCGGAGCTAAATATGTAAAAATGGCAGTTTTCGAGTGAACTAAGCGTCCGATTTGAAAGATCTAAAAAACTTTCTGCTTGTATTGACAAAACAATTGCTTTTTAGAATAAAAAAATATTACATCTTTCTTCATTTTCCATAAAATATTTTTGTAATTTTGGATTAAAAATTCAAATAAAAAAATTACCCAGGCTAAGCACAGTCTAAGCGCCATTCTGGTACAAATGCGTTACCCAAGTACGTTTAGACTGTTTATGTATTGGAGCACTTTTCCAATTTTGTGATAAAATGATGGACAAAAACTATTGAAAAATATGAAAATGCCGCCAAGCTAAGTACAGTATAAGTGAAAATATCGCACAGAATTATTTGAAATTTAGAATGTGACTATACGGGAGCACTTTTTCAATTTTGTTTTCGATTTGCTCAGATATAACAAACAAGATAGCAAAAATAAAAATAATGAAAGTTACATTAGTATTTGTAATAATATATTTGAAAACGTTTAAAATTCCTCGGGAATATTTCATTACGGTACGGGAAGTTCCAGCAATTTGCCCGAAGGCACGATGGCATACACCACTAGTTATAATTTGTTCGTGATTAGAGTTCTTTTTATCATTGTTTCTATTTTGCTCGTCAGTAGTGTTACCAATTTTAAACTAATGTTTTAATATTATTTTTTGAATTTGTTTATCAGTAGAGTTCTTTTATAATCCAATATGACATTCGACAAAAATAACTTTTAAATATATGTGGAATTTCTTGTTTCGCTCGTCAGTAGAGTCCTTTTTCTTGACATTGATTCGACATTTTATCTTTTTCTTAAT